ATATATATACATATATTTAAATATACATATGTATATTGTATGTACTTGAATATAGCAGACGAAAACAATCCTGCCAATGTTTGGTTTCATTGTAGTAAATATCATGAACACTCTGTGGGGATATTCTGCATTCTCACATTATCATGATATCACATCTTCAACGCCGTACTACAGAATGAGCACGGCAGTTCACTGGACAGTTTCTTTCAAAGTATAGACGGTCAGTCAGTGCTAGACACAATAACCCAAGAACATGAGCCCAGCCCAGCGGACCCTCTCTGGGCTCAAACGGGCAGCCCAGAACTAGCACACGGATATACCACGTCCTCTAGTTCAAGCTCAGTTTATAAGCACAATAGTAGGCTGACATCCCTTGGTAGCAGTGTAGAAGAGAAAGTGGGGAGAACTCGGGGTGTGATGGATTCCAAGCGATCAAAGAAGGGTAGTTGCCCGAATTGGGACACGCGCGAGTTTGTGTGTATCAAAACACAGCCGACATCATACAAAGCCTCTGAGAGAGAACGCAGGGCCAGCCTTATGAGTGAGGATTTATCGGTGAGTCTGAATGCTAATGGCCCGCCTATGCGCGTACGCTAGATCTTCGTGTGCTTCTGATAGGTTTAAGCCCACATATAGCAGCGATTGATTGTACCTGTAGGCGAACATGAACGACGGAGTGCGTGCTGGATCTCATCGCTGTACGATTATGTACACATATGATACACTGAGTAGCCCACCCGAATAGTACACAAGCGTATGTAGTTGTACCGCACCCTTCGTATCGACTCTCTCACCAATGCTCTCGATTTCATCAGCTTCCACAGACTGTGGCTCTCCATGAAGCAACAGCGTCATACCACGCAGTTCTGGCGAGAATGAAGGCCAGTATACCCCCGGTCCTGTTTAATGGGGCGTTGGGGGTTGTAGTTGGCAAGGTAAGGAGCAAGACTGAGTGAACACGTGCTTTCAATCAGACAAGAGTTTTATGAACGGGCTTATATGATTTGCAGCGTAGGCGCTTGTGTATATGACAACATTTCAACCAACACCAATTACTTCGTATGCGGGTCAAGGTTAAATGCACCGGGATATTGCTACACTCCGAAGTTCGGGTATTTTTTTTTGTAGTACACTAACTAATCTGCTATGCCTGGGTGACTTTTACTGTCAGATTGTAGGCGCGAGTGTCATAGCTGGCTTAGCCAGAGGATCAGGAACCTTTATCCGGCGCACTCAGAGCAAATGGTCGCCGCCCGTATTCATCGATTTATCATGTACCGTATTCATCGATTTATCATGTACCGTATTCATCGATTTATCATGTACCGTATTCATCGATTTATCATGTACCGTATTCATCGATTTATCATGTACCGTATTCATCGATTTATCATGTACCGTATT